TATATATATATATATATATATATATATATATATATATATATATATATATATATATATATATATTCGTTGTGATGACAAGAGTTGATGAAGACAACTGAAATGAGTAGATACTTAATGAGTGTGTAAACATTATATTAACAAACCTAAAAGAAGACAATTATAAATAATGGATACTAAGATTTTTTTTAAGTGGCAGAAAAATGGATTGGTGATGCGAACATAGAGATTCGTAGGCTTATGACAAAACGGAACATCTTGAAGATGTTATTCGGATTAGATAATGTTTTATTGATCACGAAAAAATGTATATGTTATAATTTATTGAAGTGTGGGCGGAAAAATAAGTTTGTAATCTATTTAATGACAATGTAATAGTTTTGTAAGTTTTTTTAATCATTTTGTTATGAGTAATGAAAATGAAAAGTGCTAGCATTTATGAAAATCATAGCATGTTAGTATTATTGTTCAAAATCACATTATGTATTTTCTTATATAAAATAATATTGAGAGTTGAGTAAGTTCCAACCAAGCACTATGACTTCAAAGAATTTTATGTAGCCTTTCATTAATGTCATGTAATATCAGTCACTGCAACTCACTTTTGAAGTGTTGCACTCGCTCCACATGCTTCTTTGGTTCTTTCCACTGAGTTAAAAAATTATTGTAATTGTATATCTTTAGACATTGTAATCAAGAGCATTTGCATATTATAACGCACTAACTTCTATGTAACAATAAGAGAGATATATGAATGTATATTTGATTGATTAATATTAATTACATACGAGAGGCATTTATAGCCTAAGTCTACTAACTGATCTAAGCTTATATCGAGGAATAAATACAGGAAACTATTCTATGACTTGACTCACTGGACTAAGTATTTACATTGGAATGCTTTAAATATACACGTGAGATACATGCTTAATATAATTAGTTAATACGCCCCCGCAAGATGGAGGATCCATCGGATACGCCAATCTTGGATCGAAGTCGTTGAAATGGGGAGCGAGTGAGAGGTTTAGTCAATGCATCGGCTAGTTGATCAAAGGAGTTGACATGTCGTACACGTAGAGAGCCGTCGGTAACTTGTTCTCGAACAAAGTGGTAGTCCAGGGCTACATGTTTCATCCTTGAGTGATATATAGGATTAGCACAAGAGTATGTTGCACCGGTGTTGTCACAATACAGGAGCGGAGGTTTTGTAATTTTGATGCCAAGATCGAGTAAGAGATTCTTAACCCAAGTAACTTCAGCTACGGCGTTTGCAAGGGCCATGTACTCCGCCTCCGTAGATGATCGTGATACGGATTTTTGGCGGGAGGATCTCCATGAGATGATATTCAGACCGAGATACACAAGCTATGCAGTTGTAGAGCGTCCACCATTTGTTACACCTCCCCAATCGGAGTCCGAAAACGCCGTGAGATCCATGGAAGAATTTTTTGTGAGG